TTCTTCTTCCTCTTCTAAGTCCACCATCTCTCGCTCACCCTTTCGCCACCTGACTTCTCAGTATCTGCGGACTACGAGAGAGGGAGAGATTGGTGACTTTGGGACTTGACGACATTTGGATCCAGACTCCACATTGGGATCGAGACATTGGACGAGGGATTATTTGGGACCTGTACCGAAGACTTGGTGTTGACGACATTCCCATCTTCCCCCTCTTCTTCGTCTGTGTATGGATGGGGACTGACGCATTCTTCCTGTGTGAGCGCCAGGCCCTTCACACCATGGAATGATGATGATGTATGTTTGGTCTGCATTGCGACATTGATCGGTCTGACCATTGGTATATTAGCCTTCCGCTGCACTATCTTGTACTGTGTGAGAGAGGTCGGTTCTTGTTCTGGTCTGCACCTTTACGGTATGCAACACTAGCGGACGAGGAGTCGAACTCTCTGTCCATGATGAAGGCGTCGACCCAAGATCATTATACTCTGGAGGCCCCTGCCAAGAACTTTCTGCTTGCTATTCTACAGACCTGCATGGTCTGTCATAACACCCGGAAGTCTGCGCCACTGGAACGGCGACGAGGGGTCCAGTTGTGGAGTCATACCGGTTATCATAACATTCACCTCGCCCCTGCACATTTGCGTAGTATTCTCCCCACCCTCCAAGTCAAGTACATCACTGGAGGCCCACTGCAGGCAACGCCACAAATTTCTACATGGGACTAAGTTCGACTAACCAAACAGTTGTACCCTCTCCGGATGTAGCCACTGAAATCCAGGTACGGTCTCTTGGCTGGTTACCAGGCTGGTAGCTGTTCGGTATGGACCTGGCCACGGACTTCCTCAGGGCTGCCAATCTCTTCAGCAAACATTTTCCCCTGATATAGCCCGAACTGTTGCATTCCTTCAGCTTTGGACTTTGTTCCACTCCACAAGAATTGCACCACACCATATCACAGCGACAGAGAGAGAGAGAGAGAGAGAGAGAGAGAGAGAGAGAGAGAGAGAGAGAGAGAGAGAGAGAGAGAGAGAGAGAGTACTCTCC